CATTTTCAAAAAGCGTCCCACGCCCTGAAAGACCTTCCTTGTAAGAGGTGCCCTCCTCTTGGCCTCCCTATTCCGCGATACCCCAACGACCATGCGATGATTGCAAAAAACCCACAACATTGCGTGTTATGGTATAACTTAGAGATGGAGTGGGGGAGAAGCTGAGTCCCAAATCTTAGCTTTCCCCTTAGCTGTTCTTTAAGCTACGGTGTCACCTCGTACTGGTGGAGTAACGCTCTATTGCGGGATTTATTTTATCCACCAAAATCTTGAATGGTGCATCCCTTATGTGTTCCTCCGACTTGAGGTGCAAGAGACAGTGAATGTGTTACTTCGAAGATGGTTGATGCATCACCTTCTTTTCGGCGAAACCAGTGAACGAGTCAATCGTTTTCGTTCCAATTCCTGTTTTCCTTGAGGCGTGGTCATACATAAGGCTCTGCACCGAGTCTCCACAATTATAAACCACACATTTTTCCAACGCGATGCCTCAACAAACCGTGTTGGAGAAAACAGCATAAGTACTGGCCATTCCACCCTGAATGTACATAGTGTGACTCGACGACTCGTTTCTCAGATATCGGAAACGACTCAATACACTCCAGCACGTCTTGGAATTCCTGAGGTATTGCTAATAACCTCCGACGACGCTGCGTTGGGCTTTCAGCTCATGGCAGTCCGAGGGTGTTCGTCCGCAAACTTCACAGCATCGGTAATGGGCATGATGTAGGAGTGTGACAGGATATTTAGCCTGACGTAGGTTCCGCGGCATCCTCGACATTGATAGCGTCGTGTGAAAACAATAAGGACGATAAAAATAATGGCAAATCATTTGACGTAGGAATAACAAAATCATATGAGAGATCAAGCATACGTGCTAGGTTCAGAAACACGACTTTCAGTAATAACGACAAACAACCTAGCGAGCTCATAAGGTGAGCGGAATGTAAATGATGACAGAGGAGCGGACGACAGTAGACTGTTCGGTACGTTAAAGGTACACGCGACATGCTGTCCACTGACTTACATTTCTCAGGTTATCTGCAGCCGATATAAGGGGTGTTGGTTGACGATGAACTCATCGCGCTGAGATAGAAACATTTACGCAAAAAATCTTTACAGTTCGTGGCATGGCTTGTATAGCCCCACGTTTTTCTTCCTTTTCCGAGTTGCAGTTGCCTGCTGACCGAGCGCCATCGATTTTCGAGGGAGCTGCAGGAAGTGATCAGGCAGCATTCTCGAAGTTCTTCATTGTCCCAAATGAGTAGACTTGGCGCTGCTTCAATATTGCGCCAGACTACTCGATAGCAACTAAAAAGGGGCAAACGTAGAATAAGTATATAAAGTAGTAAAACTTACTCAGTGGCTCGTTTCGCCTCTAATTCATTCGAACCAATTCATATTTTGCAAACTCCGAAGCTCGACGGTAAATGAGGGTTGATAAAAAACGATATATGTCAGCTTCAAAAATTTTACTCGACTGAAAACAAAAAAACACAAACGGGAATAGTTGCGAATGGAACAAAAGAAATAGATGTCAAGAAGCATGAATAACTTCGGAAACTACCTAGTTCCTAAAAAAAGCTTTTTTTGATAATAAGTCGAACAGTAATAACATGGTTGAACTAGGTCGCATTACCTTCACTACCACTACACTGAGATAATCGCTTGCGTACAATCAATTGGAAATATGAATAAATGAACATACCTGATAAAAATAAANCTTCTGAAAAGTGTGAATAATTGCAAAATCGGTTGAGGCTGTTCAGAACCTGGTCGCACTTAGAAAAGGAAATGTTGTAAATGGTATTCGAACTGTGAAGTATGGAATATAAACATTATTTATATGAGAATACTTCCAAGCGATTCTCTAATTTCTGAGGATTTATCATTAATATCGTATTTACTGCCTATACATTTATGGTGACGAAACTTTTGTTATTACGAGCCATATGTAGAGACTACTTCTATATGAGAAAGACTACCAACGCCTGTGTGAAAAACTATAAAATGAATGAACCACGATGATAAAATTGTTGTTGATGTGTATATAAACCCATCATTGTGTGGCAATAAACCATTCCTAACCTCCGCTTCCACTATCCATCCACTACAACTAGTGAATCGGATGGCTGATAAACTGGTGCATCGGCCGAAGCATACGTGACTCCTCTCTCTGCTCAAATAAGGTCGATTTCTCAAGAGCCAGTCTTCTGTCTGGACACCGTTCAACATCAAAATCAGCACCTGATTCGAAGTGGCGGTGAAATTAGCAGGAAAACAATCTTGGCTCACACCTATGAGTGGTATTCTGGAGGAAACACCCAGTAAGAGCCCAATCGATAGTAATGATAGCGTGGATCGTCGGAATCGGTTGAGCTGCTCGAATAGGAGTACCAAGAACTGGAGCTCAATGAAAAATGAAAATGAAAAAATGAATGAATTAAATGAAAAACGAAAATAACGAAAAACGAAAAATGATAGCGTAGTTGAAGGCACAGTTCACGATACTTTTGGGATATCCGGTTTTCGACGAAAAATGTTAGGTACGGCCCGCAGTAGTACAATGGTAAAAGAAAACGCGATGAATAAAAAGAAATACAAAGCTTAAAAAAGAAGAGAAGGGGGGGGGGAAGGTTGGACGAGTTACACGGCGAAAAAACGGCGGTTAAGAGAATTTTCAGGCGAGTAGACGAATGCGACGTTATGTCTACAATTGCCCACAACACGCTCAAACGGCTGGTTTTGGCTTCTTCGTTAATATTATTTATTCTACTGCTGATATTAAGCTAGCTTACTGTGTCTGATCCTTTTGATGACTTCTGAGAATAATTAATTAGAACAGAATAAAGCAGAATATTAATCGAATAGTAGGAATACAGCCGATTACTATTACCGGTAGGAGGCGGTCGATTAGCTTATTGATTTTTCACTAATGTTGCTCCAATGCGAAAGTGATGAACGGCAATTAGATTATGTAGTCAGCCTAGCGAGAGGCGGAGGCTGACCGTGCTTCACTCTCCGACCCCCTATTGTGCCCTATCCAGAACGTTTTTGGAGTTCATTCCGGCACATATGGTACCAGAGGGGGCCCCGAATTCATACCATGCGCAGATCTCCGAAGTTATTTTTATCGTGAACCGTGCCTTTAAATCCTAAATGTCAACTGACAAAGCTACATATTTGTTACATTCCCATCCCGATACAACGCGTTTTTTGAGTACTATGGCTCCTTGATGTGTTTCTTGCAGAAAATATTTTATTACTTTATCACATTATTGCTAACAAGCCATCCATATAGCTGTAGGGAATGAGCGACTTACTACAGGCGAATTTCTTATTGATAGTAAAGGTATACTCTATAGACAGACAGTGTTAGGTCCGCTAGAAGAGGGTTGAGACTGCATCACGGTCCCAATGGAGTTTGGCGGTTCTTTTACGGACAGACACAGTAGCTTTATCCATGGTTTATTGCAAGCTGTACAAAGAATAAGAGAAAAGACACGTTTCATACATAATACATCTATTACACTCTGGTGAAAAGACAGCTACTAAAATCCTAAAGACCTCGGCCTGTGATTCGGCGGCGATCAATGACTCGGCGGCGATCAATGAAAACATCGTGAACGCGAGGTTCGCGACACTCTCGAGGCCGAAAGGGAATGTCAAAATTTTGCGAAGGGGCATTTTCCACACCACAATTTCCATTTTACCTGTGTGCTTTCCAATTATCTTATAGGCAGTCTTGAGGTCGTAAATTCGTTAGAAATAACCCAATTTATATAAAGTATAAGCACTGAACAAACAATAAAGTTCACAACTCCCCTAGATAAAAAAGTCTCTTCAAATCGTTAAATAGAAAATCTGTCATCCGTGTAGGTAATCATAACATAGGTCGTACGGTTGTTTTTGTGCTGAGCTCGTCTTCGGAGTAGTCGACATATACTTCTCAATTGCTGGTAAAAAAGCAATTATGACGTTCTCTTAGGCATATTCTATTTCCTCACTGGTTGTTGTTGTTTTTTTGTTACCAAGTTGCCGCATAATCATCTATTGTACTCTGCGTGATCGTTTAAAAACATTAAATCACCATAGATACAAAAAATAATAAGCGGGTCTATGCTACATTTCCTATGCTCAAGAGAGACATCTTCAACTACAGCATTTTACCAAATTTTCCTTATAGCATTGAAAGAGAAAAATCATTTGTCGAAGTGGTATACACAAAATGCAGCGTGATGTTTTCCCATTTCCACTTCCCTTCCTTGTGTCTACAATAGAAACACGTAGCCGACGAAGGGCAGTTGATGGGATTATGGTCAGCATTATACAAACATCCGACACACTTACTCAACTCTTGGGCTCGCTGGGGGCGAGCCGTAATAGTTTCGTAAACTGTGCATTCGGTTGCAAAATGGGGATCACTACAAAACAAGCAAATTTTTGTTTTCTTACTAGGCTGCTGGGGAAGCCTTTTGCCGCGTGTGTTGGAAGGTAGAAGTTGTTCTGCTTGTTCCAAAAATTTTCAAAGTTGATATTCGATGTGATCCAATCGCTCATCCATTACCTCCAATATTTCCTGAATTTTTATGAAAATTGGGTTGGATGTCTGATAAAGTCCAAGTAAGAGTTTTTTCATTTTATTCATCGGTACCTTGAGCTTCTTTTTATTTGTCTCCTGTCTCGTTTCATCGTTTTTGATTCTGTTCCTTTTATTAAGTTGGTTTTCCTTAATTTCAAAAAAAAAGTTTAAAAGGGTTGCAAAAGACAATTTTTTGTTGTTGTTTCCGTATCGGATTTTATCAAAGTTTTTCTTATAAAAATTGCCGTGTTGTAGTTTGCCGTATCCTCCAGATTGTTCAATTGCTTTTCGATTTACCTAATTTATTTCGAATTGACGTATTGTCCGTGTACGGTGTGAACGGAATATTACCATAGTCAGGTGCTTGTGGTAGCAGATGAACGTCGCAGACATCTTCGTGTTCGTAATTGCTATCCGAAGGAGGTACGGTCGATTGTGTTTCTTCACGTTTAACCTCAGTGGGCTGCTCAGCAGTCATCTGAAAATGTGTTATTGCGTTACTGCGTTACTTCGCTTACATTACCCGGAATGGAAGTTTATTAAAGAAGTGCGCTTTCCGCAAAGGTTTATACATTTCCTGAAAGCGTGACGTAGAAGCAAGAAAACAAGGAAGAAAATTTTTCTCAGAAAGCAGAGCATCATATTGAGAAGAAGGAAAGCGATTCCGAGTGGTGTGAGGGTTATGAATGAGCTTCTCATGCTTGTTTTACCTCTTCCCGAGCATGTTGCTAGATATGTTAACGAGATAAGCAGTGTTGCTGCGAGCGTTGCGAATACGAGGAATGTATACAACATGAATTTCTTGCAAACGTTAAAGAAATGAGTTATCTCAGGGAAGACGAATGAGAGGTCTTCTGCATGAGCAGTTGTATTTCCTTCGCTATACAAATATTGTAAAATTAGTTGCATTCCATTTATGTAATTTAATGTGTCTTCCAGTTCGAAAATTGTTGTTTGCTTTCCGCAATTTGCCTCACATTGTTCGAGTACTTGGGCTGTGCTTACAAATAGTTTTATTTTATTAAGTGTGCCATGTTTTGAGCACTGTAAGGTAAACGTATGAGTGTTGCATGAAATTGTGCCAATGCTTTAACGTTGTCAGAGAAGCACATGATTTCAGCAACTGCACCAGATACACATCTGTAACATCCTTCAATAGAGAGGACTGCTATGTTACAAGTGAAGTCCTTGATAATTTCTTTCATTATCGTCATGGACTGATTGAATACCATTCCAATTTCAATAGAAGCTGCTGCTGTTCTTACTGTGGGAGTCTTATTTTTCCTTCTGTCTTTACCATTTCATTAGGTATTGCCAGAGGCAAAATGTGAGAGAGGTTGACTACTTCTGAGACGTTTTTATTTGTGCAGTAGCAATTTATCATATCTTGAACAGGATTACATTTACACGTATCTTTGATCTAACTTTTATCATGCGCTTTGTCTTTCAAGATGGGTGTGTGGAGCAAGCATATGAAAAGTGGGCTTTATCGCTAAGGTATGCCGCGTAATTACCATTGCTTATGAATCGCCTGTTAAGAATCGTCGTGGGATTTGTGGACATCAAAGTGATTTCAATTTCTGTATTTCCTACACGTTTTATAGCATGGGGCTTGATTTCGACGTCATAGGTTGTAGGTTTGTTATTTCCCTGCAGTTCTTCGAAAGTTATTCTTATTGTGGTGAACCATGAAGAAGATTCGAAGATTTCAAAAATTTCGTCATCCAGTAGGACGTGGTAAGTTCTGTAGAATAAACAGCCTGAAGAGGGAAAGCCACACGTGCAGTCTAGTCCTCTACAGGATTCTGAGCAATAAGTAATTCCCGTATAATTATTTGCTATTCCTAGTTCTTCTATCCAGCTCTGAGGGTGAACATTACCACAGTTATTCCCTTTACAAGTTCTCATAAAAGGGCACCGTTTATGGTATTGTACTCTGACCTCTGTATTTCTTGTGTAAAACAGTGTTTCCTGTTTGCATCTTAATGTAGCTTCTTTTAGCGTTACTTTAAGCGCCTGTTGTATATTGTTTCCATATTGTACCTTTAAGCATAATTCTGGCTGTAAGGCACTCAGTTTTGCCACGGTACTTTTGTGGGTACTACATTTTCTTTCGCTTGAGTGGCGCTGGGATATTTCGACTGGTAGAATTACGATTTGCTGACAACTGTAAACGAAGTGGATTGAAGTCATAATGGTCAATATCCTTACAATGTTAGATGCTGTCCATTTCCTATGTCTTCTATTTCCAATTTCTATTAATGGGATATAGTCCGTGCGGTCGTTTCTCGGTTTCCAAATGTTGCGTATAAAAGAAATTATTTTGGTCTCGCCTCAGACCAACGTGCTGCAAATATTGATCAAAATCCTTCCAATTTTCCAAGCAGATTCCTTTTGTGTTTCCAACTTTTCACACAGTTCCTGAACGATGATTGGTTTTGTTGTGAGGAACTGTTGTAGACCTTTGAGAACTGTAGGGAACTGCCATTGAGTGTGATACTCCTCAGCTTCTGCAATGAGGCCGAATAGGCAGTTGAGATTCCTGGTGAGCTTCTGCTTTATTGCTTTCAGGCTAAAGGCGGACGACATGAGCGCTGACAAGACAATGGAATGGATGGGGATGGGTGCGACAGGCCGTATTTATGTGACTTTGTTATCAGCATCTGCCTGAAGATGAATCATTTTTGTATTTCCCAAAACATTTTGTTGATCGAAATAAACATTTGATCTCATGTTGTGGGAAACGAAATGCCGTGATTCATCATAGGATTCTTTTTATGTTTGAAATTTTTATCATCGACATTTATTTTTCCTCGATTTTCCGCGGGATTTGATCTATTGTTTGATAGGATTTTTCCGCCGAACTGCCACTTCTAAGGAAATTTCTTGAGGTTCCGGAAATATTGGGGAGAAATCGAGACCTTCAGAAAGATCTTACTATTGTGGCCACATTGTCGTTTAGCTATCAATTTCTAGTTTTTCTTCGAGTCGACCTTCTCCAGGTAAGTCTCACGGACCACTGGCCGGGTTCTGATTCGGAGTTTTCCTTCTTCATTTTTGTAGTGCTTACATTGCTTAAGCTCACTATGCTATAATATGAGCATAAATCATACATTAATATTAAGGGGATATCAATGGAAAAGGGGGAGGCAAAAGGAGGTTAACAAAGTACATAGAAGAGCGAACGTACAATATACAGTATGTCCAGTAGCCTTCATATTGTCCGATTTGATCCTATGTAGTTTGTTTGTCGTAGTGCTGTGTTGTTCCATCAATGGGTGTTAATTCTGCCATATCTCGCGAGAAATCGCCGTAGGGTTAGAAATTGAAGTCGACCTAATTACTTTTCAATTTTTTTCCACATTCAACCTAAAGAGAGATTTTCCACTTACTCATTTTTACCAGTTGCAAACGGTGTATAGATTTTGGTTTTGCGTATAACTGGGTTTTCTTTGTTAGCTTTTCCTTTACAATTCAATTTTAGCCGATGCACCATTTTGAGACTGCATCACGGTCCCAATGGAGTTCGGTGGTTCTTTTACGTACAGACACAGTAGCTTTATTCATGGTTTATTGCAAGCTGTACAAAGAATAAGCGAAAAGACACGTTTCATACATAATANATCTATTACACTCTGGTGACAAGACAACTACTAAAATCCTAAAGACCTCGGCCTGTGTTTACTGTTTCCCTTTCGGCTTTCCCTTTTCCTATTATCTTCCCTTTAACTGTGGGTCCGCCGTGCTAGGAAGGGAGCTTGCGAAAGTACGCGATTCCTATTGAGTACACAGAAGCACACGCGAACCATAAGACCAATGCCAAAGCCACAGGCCAGCGTCGAAGCTCAACCGAGCGCCCGACCAGCCTTCGAGCCCTCTCGCCGACTCCGTCCGCCTTTTGTACTGACGGCGCGGCGGCGATCAATGGAAACATCGCGAACGCGAGGTTCGCGACAAGAGGGTTGGCACCGCCCATTTGAATAACCTTTTTCTACCTGTTAGAAATAGAAATTTCAAAGATACAAAAACATTTTTTTTATTAGATATCTACTTAAATAAGGTGCGTTGCATACTGTAATATCCAAAGTTTTGGTATAATTTTTACCATATATAGAAAACTGTATATCCATTGGTAGTAGTTAATGCTTTACCTGCATTTCTGAAGCAGATTTACAGAAGAATTGTATTGTTCTTTATAATAGACTATGTTTCGGATCAATAAACATATCAGCAAAATCTGCGGTGTAAATTTTTGGGATGAACGTGCAAATCCAGTGTCANTAGTTTTTCCAGTTCTCATTGGTTGAGATTTTCCACACTCTATTATAGTTGTGAATTTTGCTAGCTACTTTCAGAGTATATACATATTACTCTTATAGGCATTTGTATCGAACAAACCCTATCGCTTTGATGCCTAATTTCAAAAAATATCCAGTGCTAGGGATTCCACATAATGGAAGTTCCCTAAAATTACGGCTGAGAAAATCTGCGACAATGTTGTGGTAGTTTCTGTTACAGTCTTAACAAATTTGTTGTAGAAATGCTTTTGTGCGAGTATTCACACGTAGAATTTGACTCTACTAGGTGGTGTACTGAGAAGGCCTTTTGCTCCTTTGCCTTCCACCGAGTCTCTTCCAGAAAAAACTTTCCGAACCGATAAGTGACCCGGCTCAACTAAATTCCCCCTGACAATGTAGTGTAAACCTTTATAACAGACATAACAGTCAAGCGTCTTGGTTAATAGACGATACCTTAGCTAACTAACTATCATATCCCGCGGATAGCCTCATGACTATGCTAGATGTCGTGGGAACTAGGTTGATGCATAATTTTTGCAAATTATTTCAACAAATCTTATTTGAAGAAACGATCAGAATATTCGACAAACACATGCCCAAATAATTACTCTGAAACGTAACCACCAGTACGTCAAGCACTGCTTCCCATTTGCTAGGCGGTCGAATTACACAGGCGAAAAAGTTTCGATTCTTGGAGGCGATCCACACCTTTATATCGGCCATCTGTAAGTTCTGTTCGCTGGTCAATTTTCCAATGAAAGATTGGCGTGATAGTCCATATAGGAGTTCCTGTCTGTGGATATATCAGATGTGGAAGCAGATCTCATCCCTTTCTCTGCTTTGGCTGACTGGTCCATCGTCAATAAGTTCGTTGAGTTTGTGGGATTACTGGGGACCCTGAAACCTTTTCTGGAGTAATAGCGAATATTGTGGCGAATTTGAAAATGTCTTTCTGGGCGTCTTTGTTGCAAATGCAAGAAGATTATATCTATTAAAATCCAGAATCCAATATTCAACTTGTTCTAGAGAAAAGAAGCCGCGAAAAAATTGGCAATAATTATGCATCGACCTAACAGTTTAAGTCACTGTAAGGGTCACAACCCGTGAATTGAATATCAAAAGATCATTTAATTAAAAATAAAAGGATAAAGTTTTCGGCGTTAATCAATCCCGTCTGAGGGATGCGCCCCTGCACTCGACTTCCATTCAGAATCGTAGTGGCGTAATGAGTGCGTATGTGGCCTGTACAATGACTTACGGTGGCCAGCCGATGTACAAGTCAGTGCTTTTATCCTCCCAGACGAGTCTGGTACCAATCCACCGACCCCGGAGGGATGGAAGACTTGGTTGGCCTAGGCGGGCATCGATCCGGGATTCGAACCCCTGACCGTGCGTGTGATATAGTACTCCACTTGGCACTACACCACCTCCGCCCTCATCATTTAATTGACTTACATAAAATAATTTAAAATATCTCTGTGTCAAAAACACCATTTTACTACGCAGCTCGCGTTACCTTCGGTAAGTGCTTTTCAATTATATCACTTATATGTTTATTCGCTCGCAACGTTTACCGTTTACAAGCTGCAGTTTTTCAACTTTTCACAGATCTTGACCTCTTTGATGGTTTTTTTGAGAACATGCCTTCAGATTTAATTTCACTCGCCTGATGAGAAGCCTACATTCGTTGGAGTCTAAAGGTTCCGTTGCTGGTTTACTGAATCTAACCTCTAGGAGAGCAGTACCCTCACAGCGTAACTCGAGCCACCCAGCATGAATGTTGCATCCGCTCCTGCAAGCCTTTTATTCATCAGTTATAAGACCTTGGTCTCAGAACCTTTGCCTCAGTTTCAATCGATTAATAGGTGCCTCAGTTTCAATAGATTAATTGCTTTATCAATTGATCAATTGAAGACATGCCTTCGGACATGGATCCAAATCTGAGGAAATCTTTTCCAAACATACTTTTAGCATTTGGGTTGTGAAGAGTGAAGGATGTCCGGTATTCATATAGGATATCAAGTTATTCAGTACTTCTACTCACCATCAGCAGTTGACATGCCATCCTCAGTTAGGAAGCAAAAACGACCTCATCGCCATAAATGTAAAGCGGCGCTGAACTGGTATTATCGAGCCAAAATTTATGCACAAACTCTTGTCAGTGAACAAGAACACCCGAATGCCTCACTTCAATCTAATCGTTCGCCGCTATGCACCCAAAGAGCGCAATGAGGTAAGTGATCTCTTAAGTTGAAAAGGACTATTGATTATGCTCATATTTGCCAAGACATGTCTTTACACACCGACAAATTTGATCAATATGGCAATGGTAGGGACCTGGACGAACGAAAGACACCATGGAGGTCAATCTACGTATGTAGCTTCATGCTTTGCCTAACTGGGGTCCAAATGGGCATCTACTTCATGTCTACATGGCAATACCTGAATGAGGTACAGCTTCATCAACATTCAGAACTGTATCAATTACAGCACAATGGTGCTACTACAACCTATAATTCAAAAGTTTTTTTTTTTTTTGGTCAGAGCATATGTGCTTGGCAAGAAAGTACTTTGGCAAAAAGAAAGTCACTCCGAAGTTGTTCCCAGAAAAACCGATCGATTATTCGAAATATATTCATCAGAAAGATCATCATCCTTCTCTTATCACTTGTCGGTTTTATTTCTTAAGCTGGGCATACCGAGATTTTAAAATTCTTTATTCGACTTACGTTTTGATGCTTACACCTTTCTCGGAGCGACTTTCAGCGGATACATTGCTGATAATTTCAACCGCTATACTCGCACATTGCCACTAGCTTATTTAGTAGAAGAAGATGATACAAATGTCGTCTAATTACGATTGGTTAAGTTTCAAAAGCCTAGATGTGCGCCCTTTTTACTGATGTCCTCATACTGGGAATTACTGGGNGGGACTTTGCGATCGTGTTTACGTTGCTTGCACAGAATTTCGCACAATTCTAATTTTTGGTCTGTCGGAAATCTTTCTTTACACTCTATAGTAACCAGTTTTGACGATATTCGGTGAACTTCTAATCCACTCTGTTGACAACCGTCCAAAGGTAACGGCAAACGGTGCCAATGTCAAAACAGAATCAGGATAATCATAGGTGATATTCGTGATGATATCAAAAATCTAACTAGTGGGTGGTCCTTATAGGTATGGTATGGTAATCCTTTCTCTCTGATATGTACACAAAAAGGGGGTAAAAAAATTGACACATTGTATGAAGGGCACACGATCACCTCCATCGGTGAAAATTCAGCAAAAGAAAGAAATAGAGCGAAAGAAAAATTTTTATTATCTGCGTTTAGCATAATTTAGTAGTGATTTTTGAGAAACTACAGCTTACCTCGTTGTGCTTAGGTGGACTCTACGGCCTCGATGGACTTCTTCGGCTGGGTAGCTGCGGCATGCAGTTTAGGATGTGCTTTGGTGAGCTACAAACTTTGAATTTTGCTAAGAAGTTCTTTGTCCTATTGATTACATGCTGTAACTTGGGAACTTTGTTTAGAAGCAGTATTTGTATATTGAACACTGATTCGATCACATTAGTTTGGTTATTTGGTTGAACTTCTTTTTAAATTCCAGTTTGTCGCATAGATAGAACGAATGCACATAAACAAGTGATGCAAATCGTTGCAGGTATTTAGGAGCGTTGCCACAGCATTGTCCCTCGCAAAATTCAGTCCAAGCCATTTTTTCGTTCTAGACTATTCAGTGCTCTATTAATCTTAAGCCTACTTAGGTTTAGCCCCTTCAAAAATCCTACCATTCCCTACAAATTACAGCTACATTCTTTACTGTACTCATGGATTTGAGAAAAAACTGTAATTTACATTAGTTGCTTTGAGAGGGCACACTTTTGAAGTAAGGATCAAGCAACTAATCGGTAAATGCTATCCCTCGGTCTAATAAAGAAAAGAAGATTCGAGCGATTTTTTTGACAAAGTGGTATAGACTATAGTAGTGATGGATCCCTGTCGGCTCTTCAAATCACTATAGCAGACCCGAATGCAGCAATAAATATATGATATCTACTTGTAATTACTTCCTCTTACAGGGTTTTTATATGAAAAACTCGTTCTATTTACAGCAGTAATACTGTATAGTGCACGTTTCAGGCGAACCCTCTCTTCGGGCTGTGGAATCAGCGCACAGGGTCGACTAAAATTCCGGTCTCCTTTGGATTCACTATCTGTGCCATAGGTTCGTATGTTTAATATCGAATAGATTTATTAGGTGTGGTGGGAATCATACACAACAATTTATCCCAGCAAAATATACTAAGGGTGCTACCTAATTAAATTCATCTTATTGAGGGAACTTTCTCAGCATTTCTAGCAGTAGCTATGATCACAGCAATCTTTGGTATGTCTCTCGATATCGGACGGGATAAATGAAGGGTGCTAGAAGTTTCATTTCAATATGTTTGTTCATATTGGAAAAGGTTCATTAGACTCCGATAACTGTAATAGGTAGCTTTATCGAGTTCAATGAATTCTGGGAAGTTCAGGAAATCTACTTTACGCTCTCCTCCCGATCATTCCATCAAACAGCAAGTTCGTAATGCTACTGGCTCGTTTCCTCACGGGATTCGGTGCAGGTAAAAATACATGGTCATTATTACATCATTCTTTTCTTCCTTCAACAGCTACTAAACTAAACAAACCTAAGCAAGGTAAACTGCACTCATGTTCTAAGGGAAGATGCCTTACATCCATCTATATGCAATCCTTTCTTCAAGACTTTCCATGCCCGTACAGTTATACACCACTTACGCAACGCCGTACAGGACAGTAGATAGTTTTCCCAGCCTTCAAGAAACCTTACTGAATACAGCTTTTACCGAGAGCATGTTACATGAATGATTTGAGCAGCCTTCGGTGGTCTAGGTATGTTTGAAAACAGTGGCTCGACTTCTAGCTACTCCGAAATGGTAGGCTTTGCCTTTCTTTGCACACATATAGTCCTTCATTTCCTGATTACGACCGAATAAGGCCCCAAATATGTCGGAACTCAAATAAGCTAAACAATAATAAACACACACTTCATTCATTCACTCCTTGTACTCTGGGCAAACTAAGGTACACTGGGAGTGCTACGTAGTTTCATCGCTACTGCTAGTACTCGAGCAAATCGGATGCGTGCTGTCTCTCTTGGTACAGCGGGCATTACTACAGGGCTCTCTATCGGACCCGCTATTCAGGTAATTGCAAACACAGTTTCAGATTCTTTGCAAGAACTTCAAAGACCGTGGTCTTATTACAGATTTGTTTCATACCATTGGGAGATACCGGTTTCTACATAGGACCATTGCTTTTCAATATGTACACATCAGCCGCTTATTTCATGTAAGTAATCTATATGTCCCAGTCATCCACTGTGCGTTTGAAGTTACATGGAACGGAGAAACGATTGAATTACTCTTGCTGACGGCCATTCAGAATCTGTTACCCTCATCTGTCATATGATTTTATCTATTCACTGCTGACCTTGCTCGATTTCTTAGTAGGTTCACACAATAGGAGCGGCCATGAAGGATAAAACATAAAGTCTTTTGACGTCAGTACCGTTCGAGGAAAGCACCCCCATATCCCACTCCTATCCAGAATGGTAGTGGCGTAATGAATGCGTATGCGACATATACTTGCGATGGCTAGCCGAAGTACAAGTGAGTGTTTTTATCCTCCTAGGAAGTCTGGTGCCAATTATTTACCTCAGAGGAAAGGTCCGAACCAACCTGGTCAACGCGATACCGATCCAGGGCTAGAACCCGTGACCATGCGTCTATGATAGTGCGCCACTTGCCACTACGCCATCTCTGGGATTGGCACACGCTGTACTGTCTGAAGGCATAGTGCGACTGTAAAACGGCACTTTTCACCGTCATAGGGGAGACGGGCAGTAGGAACAGTTTCGGATAGTCGATCCGCCGCACGCGGCTGTCGCGGACCATTTGCCCAGCTATAATACTTCCAGCGTTCTTCATACAGCTCAATTGCTATGTGCTTATTACTTTTGGGACAATTCTACTATTAGTTCTATTGTTCCTGTATTTCTTACTTGTTGCTGCATTCTGCTACATTCCTTCGCGCGTGGCGCCTTCTCGCCGTGACGCGACAAATTCGTTCCTACCGTACCACACTCTCGTCATAGGAGAAGCTGTTTGACCAATATAGTTCTCCTTTCAAATCAATTGGTATAACCTCGCAGAAATTTCTTTGACACTGCGATTGCGTATTTCCTCAGCATATTGGCATCTGAACTGTGAGTGTTATGGAACTTCTGTCACTTCATATATACTCAGCTCGTTTGCTTTACTTCCTCGATGATCAAAACATGTTGAGCCCTGCCTGATGACTAAACTTTACCGATGTCTCTCCCATTGCTCGGCCTTCAGATCTACACGGGCTTATTGATTCTGGAAAAGTTCCAGGTTCGCTATCAACGTTGCTTCTGTTTTCCTGGTGCATGCCGTGTTCGTAGAAGACTACGTCGGTATCATAAGTGATGATGAGAAGAAAGGTTGGATCATATGTGATAATTTACGGATCATTTCATCAGTTCTAGGGGATACATAAGAACTAGTTGTAAGCACGAAGAGGTTTGAAAGAGCATGAAGTGACAATGATTCAGACGACCCATTCCTTGTTATTCCGAAATTCGATCGAGTTCCTGTCCTCCTGCTTTTTTACATGTGGTGGATGCTGTGTGGGATTGCCAGTACAGAAGGGTGGGCAGCTCATGTCAGAGACCATTCTTTCCTTCTGTCAACAACAACTATATTACTTTTAAGACTCGCCGCTCCTATAACTATTGCCATGTACAATTGGACAGACGAAGAAGCGATTCTTTACAATGGAGTCGTTCAAGTGATTTCTTGTTTAGTGTCGACACTTGGCTACACAATTATCGGTTCGACACAGATTGGAAAGTGGTAGGTCCCGTTTATACCATAAACAAGGCAATGAAAAGGCAAAAATGGTCTAGCAGGTTTGTTGATTGGCAATGTTTCTAACAGAGGTTTCCAGGGACCGTCGTCTCGTCTTAGCAGTAGGCCTTTTGGCTTTCTGGTATTGCCATTTCTTTCACTATCCACTACCATTCTACACAGGCCCTCTTACAAGACCTCATTTGGGTAAGTTTTGTTATTTTGATCTTAACTTTCTTAAGCAATCCCTGCACAGCACAGAAGTATATCTCTTATCCAGTGAATGGAACAGCGTTAAGAGGAGGTGGTGGCTGTTCCATCCAATATGAGTGGTGCGAGTACACCCCGAGGTAACTTCCTTCAAATCCTGTGCCATTACTACCAGCAATGGCAATGATTTCAGGGTTCCAATGGCTCTATATCTTTTCAACTTCGCCGTCATTCAAGGTTTTGCCTACCCTTTGGTATCCGCTCCCTCAAATACGTTGCTGTCGGAAATTCTTGGTCCTCGAAAACAGGTGAGTGTTGTTTGGTAGATAAAGACAAATAATAGTCAAGTAAACTTCTTCAGGGAAATGTTGCAGGGCACAGTTCAAGGCCTGTTTGCCTTTACTGGAAGTATGGCGCAGTTCATTGTCCCCATATTTTCTACGTGAGACAAGTGATCAGAAGAACATTTTGTATTTTCAGAATATCCGTTATCATGAATAGAGCCTGATTTAGGGCTTTGTTCGAAGTGTCTGGGTATAAGTACATTATGGTGTACCATCTGGTGATAATCACCTTAGCAGCATTGAGCGTATTCATATTACGCGAACGACTTCTCCCGCTTGAACTGACACCTACAGTTGGGAAAGCGACGAAATATAAACGTGGAACTTTCTACAGGATGTGAAGACGAGTGGAAGACTGCCTTGTGAAACCATCCTCTCTTACTGTTTGTGTCTGAGTATAAGCCAGTGCGATAATGCTGTTGAGTCATCTTATGTTAGTTGAGCTACAGCCGGTAACGCTAGCTGAAATCATAAATTCAATCTTGATATTGAAGTAAATGTGGCTAAGCTCCGTTATGAAATGAACTGTTGGATACAGCAGGCATTGAATCACAGAGGAAAATGATCTCACGCTAAACTACGGAATTTCGTAACAAATGTCAAGTGCAGACGTAGTCAGAATGAAGCCGAACTTACTTCCTTCATCACTGTTTTCACCTAATCAGTACCGTGACGCTTCTTGATGTAATCCGACTCTCCTCCCAAATACAGTTTGCACCCCTTAACATTTTCTACGATCTTGTTCTGGCCTTTGTAGTCCTAGGTTCAATTTTCAAGCACGTATATGTTCTACCTATTTCGGCATCTTGATCTTTCTTTCTATATAAAGCTTTCATCGCATTTGTGAGGTAAGCTAGAATGGCATTACACTATTAGTGATTCTTGTCGGAAACGGGATGGAATTGCGTTCGATTTTATTTATGGCCAAATTCGTCTGCATTGGAAGCAACTCGACCACTCACTGTTAGGAAGATTGGGGTATGGGTACATGCCAAACGTGCGTGTGTACGTGCGTCCGTGAACGCGCGCGGCAGGTTGTGCGGCGAAGTTCGTGGCGACTCGAACGGCTCTGGGGCCTATTAATGGTGCACAAACGTGATAGAGCAGTTTAGTAGGGTCAGCCAATCATACTTATCCATACTACTTCGAATTTGGGCCCCAATCACAGGCGCTGAAATCGTTCAAAACTTCACGAACTTTGCCGCACAATTTGCCGCGCGCATCCTCGGACGCACGTAAATTCCGTCTCCCGGAAGATTGGTATTGCAATTGAAGGCCCATATTTGTCAAAGCTCTATGGTGATTGGATACTCTGCAAGATTCTTTCTGTAATTATCAGCTTTCGATTGGATAATGTTCGCACATTAATAGCGACATAGATTGGTGACCAGGTTAATACAATACCCACCCTAATTACTCATTACTCAAAAAAGAAAGACGAAAAACGCGGATTCGCGTCGTTTTCGTCTTTTCTTTATAACTAGGTAATTTCACTTTTTTCACATATAATCTCCCATGGTCACCTCAGCTCGTCGGGCTCTATAAAATGGTGCACTGAAAAAATAGAAAAGTTAATTTTTAAGTCCTCAGCTCGTAAAGTTCTTGGGTTACGTCATTGGCAACCACGTTCGCTATAATTATAACCAGAAGGCATATCCTTCTATTGACAGTATTTAGGGAGTTATGGAGCATCCATCATATTCCAAAACCAAATAAAAAAATACTTTTGCATTCCTCATGTTTTACTGATCATTTTGATACCTAATTTTCCAAAAATGGACAAATTCAATTGGAGCGGTTCTTCAAAGTGAAATATAGTAGGGATATTATATAGGGATAATCTATAGTGTCAGTAGATGAAATGCCTGTGCTTCAGAAATGGCGCTTTCCTGTTTGCAAATGGCATGCCTGATTCCAAGAGGAAAAGCGGGTTATCGTCCAAATCATGGTTTGCGGCACATTATCACGGAGAACATACGTTTTCTTGCATTTTCAAGTAAAATTTTCTCTGTTCAGGAGAAAGTTACGCCTTTCATCGAAAGTTTCCATGCTAAACTCATCATGAACAATCACGGATATGAGGATTAGTTACTTTTCTGGACCGTTCTGACTCTATTAATAGCCTCCAATCTCGCTCCAAAGCACAGAAGACAGAATCACATTTTTTTCGTATGAGGTGAACATCTGAAAAACTACACCGTTGAAACCCATATTCAAGAAGCATTTCAGTAATATGGTAATAACCTAACGAATCGCACTTCGGATAAACGCATTCAGCACAAATTTTCTACCCTATTGTATGTTGCTCTCCAATAAACTCTTGTTGAGTTTCCATACGATGGTACCACTGTTTCTGGGCGAAGGCAGTTAATTAGAATTTATTTCTCAAAGGTTCACTATTATATAATGAACTAACAAATCAACCGATTACGTGTCCTGATGCGGGAATATTGTCCTCAGACATTGTCCTGTTGAAGCTTTTGTAGTTGCTAGAAGCGTTCTTGGACGAGGTAAAGAATTAGTGCAGAACCCTGATGAAGAGATGGTGCTGAAGCCTGACGAAGAGATGAGCTGAAGCTTGGTGAAGAGATTGGCGTTGAGCTCAGATGAGGAGATGGCGCTGAAGCTTTCTTTCATACACAGTTTCGGCTTGCATAGAACAACATAATCTGAAAAATGTGATTGTCACGATGAACAAAGACATTATGTTGTAGAAAAATGCTGTCTTCCCAAAATGCTGGTTGTTGTTGGAAAGTCGGCCGACAATGGGCGATTTCCTGTCATCGATTACAAGAGCATTTGCTACACTCTTAGGGCGGATGAGTTGCTATTGTCCAACTTTCACGCCTCAAGTAGTTCTAGTCGAACATCCTCAGTAACGTTTATTATTTTTTCTTCCGAGTATGGTATGGTGCAAAGTGAACGATACGATGCCCATTATCTCTAGGAATGAGAAAGTTCAGTATTGTGTTTTTCACTATCCCAAAATGCCAGCGCTCCTTTCTTCTTTCACGACATACAACGTAACGATTACACCTTCACAAGCAGCAGACGCACTTGCCCTCTTCTTGAATGAAACGATAGCAGATTGCCATCGGGGAAACCAGGGCACTAGTGGGAGTAGTAAATTCCTTGTCTCCTGTAAAAAGCACACGTGATCCAGGGAATGGTGTCCGATAAAACTTCACGTTTTGGACGAGTAGGGAGTGGACGTAAACCATGCTCCAAATCCTCGAGATCTCCACTGACGTCATGGATAGAGCCTTTTTGCTGATAATCGACCTATGAATTCTTATTGGTCTCCTGCCCCTCATCTTCCATAGAATTTTCATTAATCAGCTGAAGAAGAAGGTAATCCTCGTCTTAAAGTTCTTCCTGTCGGTCTCTGGTGTACTCTCGGTCGCTGTTCTCTCATGGGATGTTCCTTTTTCACCTTCATGTCGTGAACCGTTTTTAT